ACATGCTTTATGGCTTTTCACTCAACACTTTCATAATCTGAGTAAAACTGTAACATTGCACGACCATTTTCATATTTTAGGACTATTTCCCTGCAGTTGTTTTATGCTGTTTTTATCGAGGAATTGTAATTAATATATAATTTAATGATTTTTATTATGCCTTACTCTATTCTTTACCTCTCTTTTTGGACTGTTGCACCGAGCCAAAGCAATAACAATTATTATGATTCTGATTCTGTTATGGTACTTATGTTGGAAGCACGTCTAACCACTTCAAATGTGTATGAATGAACTTAGAAGCACGGCTAACCACTCCATCCCTGCCATTAATAAACTTGGCTAACATCTTAAACCTTGTATCAATGAACTTAAAAGCTTGGCTAGCTTTCCATTAAAGAAATTAGAAGCATGGTTGACAACTTCAACCCTGTGCTAATGAACTTAGGAGCATGGCTAACCACAACCTAGAGCTATTGTTGTGTGTGTGTTGTGTATTCCTACTGACCTCCTATTTAGTTCTCTTGTAGGATTACGTGATTAAGTATTTGTTCAATGTTTTTAGGACAAATACTTATTCACATACCACCTCTGCTAGTTTTTGATAAATATTGTGCACATATTGCAGCCGTTTCCATCCCCTCTCATTGTAATTATTATATAAATTCGGCCCCTGACCAAAATGAGATCAACAGGCCAGTCATTCGGAACCACAGTTCTAAGTTCTACAAAAGAAGTCCAAACGAGACCCTCTCTTCTGAATCATGAAGAGTGATAGTTAGTGATAGTTAGTCTTGAAATCTCTCGCAGATGTGTGTATGTGTGTTGGAAACCGTTTTGGGGACTTACATAGTGTAGCCGTGATATCAGTCCATTAACTTTTTTTAATACGTTTTTTTTTTTAATTTTGCGTTGGAGTGTGGAGCATCTTTCTCTCATACATCAGCAGTGTCCAGGGAGAGGCGGACAGCTGTAGCCCTGTTATTGTCAGATGACTGCGCCTTAAGCACCACTCTGATGTGCCACATGACGCTCCACCGTGAGGAATGACAGCGTCTCTCGACTCAAATAGGAAAGATGATTATATGTCTTTTATCTTTCCCACAGTATTCTCGCCAGCACTGTTTGGGTGTGGGTTCAGTGGTGTGTGTGTGTGTGTGTGTGTGTGTGTGTGTGTGTGTGACAATAGCCCAGTCTGAGGCACACGTGTTATCTATATGGACAAGTTGCTGATTCAGCGGCGGTGGCTGCGATGTAAGTTATAACTTCCTGGCGGTGGAGGTGATACTGTTACAGACTGCTGTTTGGTGAGATGTCGTTCAGGTTCTGCTGAAATAATTAGAGAAACAAATCTTCAGTGTGTGGCGGAAATCAGCGAGATAAATTGTGATCAAATCAAAGCTGCAGTTTGAAAAGTTGCAATTAGTAATATAATTATCTTTTCAAACCTCAAAGGATCTTGTTTTCTTGAGTAAAAATCTGCTTTCATAGTTTCAGACTTTTATTTAATATTGTGATATCCAAAACAGAGATTTGTAATTGACTGATTTTCTTAATGCTTACTGTCTGTGAAAACTCTGTGGCTCTGCTCAGCTGAAAAACAGGTCCTGGTTCCTTCAGCTCATCTGCATTGTTGTAATAACTAGTGGAAACTGTGGAACAGTGGAACGTTTACATGTATCATGTGTGATATTCATCCTCCTCACTGTCTACAGTTAAACATCTGACTGTATGGATTAACACCATCAATGTTGATTTAATGATAATTCAGAGCAATTATTCTCAACATTAAACAAATAGAGTTATTCGGTAAAAAAAACCAAATGACCTAAAAGACAAGATTTAAATAGATCTCAGAAGCTAAGAAGCTAAGCCTGGTTAGTCCTGTGATGGGAGACCTCTGGGAACATCAGGTTCAACATTCAACATTCCAATTTCCAATTGTGTTGTTCATATGTGGTCAGTGGTGGACAGTTATATGAGAATAATCCAATCCAATCCACTTTATTTATATAGCACATTTCATAAACACAGTTTCCAAAGTGCTGCACAATAAATTACAGTACTAAATAAAACAAATCTATAGTAAAACAGTAAAATACTAAAAAAATCAAATAAACTTGTAGCCAGTTTAGACAAATACTGTGGAAAAAACACCATCTGTATAATGTCATTTGTTGAATGCAGGTGGTTTGGGGCAGATTGAACAATGTTCACGTCAGTTCCTCTTATCATTGATATAAAAATGGCTGACTCCCTGTTCTTCACAGGGAAGCGCTCCCATTACACTTTAGGCTTGTCATTCTTTCACTCCAAAATATCCTGTTTCTCATCGAGGACTTCTAGGTGGCACTGATGATTCAAACCCCTCGGGTCAGGCAGTCTTTGAACAAACATATATGTTATTTTTAGAAACTCATTATGACTTCTTTGTGAATAAACGTATTGTTTTCTTTTATTCAGACACTTGTCTCCTTAATTACATGATATATTTTGCCATGAAGTTTCCGCCTTCATCAGAGGTGATCTATCAGACTGACTAAAGATCACTGCTATCACACAAAGCCCTCTCCTGTGTGATCTGAAACGTATAATTAGATACAAAAATCTAATGACAAAAGATTAATCCATCCATCCATCCATCCATTTTCTACCCTTTAATCCATTTCTGGGTCAGGGGGGTGGCAGTCAGAGATGCCACCCAAGTCTCATAGCACCAGCCCCTCACTGACCCTCTGCAGGTGGTGAGTCCACAGGAGGACGGCTGCTCTCTGAGTGTGAGCATAGCCTTGATCTTTCAGTGGGGGCTTTGGGCAAAGTGGGGTTAAGTGTCTTGCCCAAGGACACAACGACAGCAGTCATCAGTGGGAGTCGGTGGAGAAGGTGCAGAGGTGGGAATTGAACCCACGACCTTCTGGGCTTAAGGCCAATGCTCTACCAACTGAGCTACTGTCGCCCCTAAAAGATTAATCCCAAATTGTAAAACCTCTCCATGAGTACAAGCAGGGGATGGGCCCTGTTCCAAAGAGTTACACAGTGTTTTGTGTCGCAAGAAAAGCTTTGTGGGTTCCACATACGTTTTGAGCATGGTCCATATGGGCTCTGAGAGGGTTCTATGTAAGGCCATGTTAAGCCCATAGCACTCAATATATTTATCAGTTAAATGTGTAAGTTTTAGGTCTTACTATTTGGTGTGAAAAACATAGCTCACAAATGAAAGCAGATGTACCAATCTTTATGATCAGAATCCCACTAAATGGGTTGAAAAGGTTCAAGAGCTCATTCCGATGAGACTGATAAACTGCAAATTCTTCATATCCTCAGCACTAACCCTCGACCAGAATGAACAGAAAACTGTATGTAGAGTTTTGAAATGTTCCTTCAGCTCTAATTTACAGCCTGATAATGACTTCTGCAGCCCTTCTGTCCTGGAGAAAGGGTTTGTTTTCCTCTTCTGTCCATAAACATCTCCGATAATCTCAGCCAGCAACAGGAAACAACATCTTGTGGAATACTCTGCCTGGATTATTAAAGGAGCATGGATCTGTGTGGCACGCTCAGTGGTCGCAACTATGATTGGTGTCCTTTGTAAACTGTCACTGGGTCGACCACAAATGAAATTCATTGTGTTTGTTGGAGAAAATAGCAATCCTTTCCAGAATATGAGCTGCAATGAATGGCTTGGGGTTTGGCATTTTGACATAATTGAAAACATCTCGGCGCTGTTTTCCCATGGCCGTGTCGCACACATTGATCAGATGAGAATTTGTTGAGCGATGGGGAATGACATCACCACATTTGGAAGTGATGTGAGGGAATTTTGGGGCAAATTGTTTCGTAGCGAATCCATTGTGTCGAATACTCGGCTGACACCCGACTTCCTGTGTAGCCTGGGGATCCTTCTGAGCCTTTTTTTCGTCTCAGTTATGGTTTTCTCATGTTTTGAATCTTCGACTTATGCCACTGTCCTTCCCTCGGCATAAATCAGTCCGGCTTCAACAGGCTAGTTCACGTCTCCTGCACGATTTGTATCTATTCACTGAGCACTCTGCTTGAGGGGGCAGAAAGCACAGGTGTTGTTGGAGAATAACTCATCTTGTTGTAGACATGCAGTACCCATCTTTTAAAGGCTAAGACAGCCCTGGCCATGTTCAAAACTAGGTTAAAAACACATACTTTTTTGCTGTGCATGCACTTGATTCTGTTTTGCACTATTTATTGCTTTTATTTCTCTTTTTAAGCCCAATACTTCTTCGCTGCTTTGTTTTCAAGTGTGAAATTATTGACTTTTTAATGCATTTTGACCTGTGTTTTTGTGAAGGACTTTGTATTGCCTTTCACACAATTTTTGCTATAAAAATAAATTATTGATGGATTGATACAGTACACTGCATACACAAGAGAGACAATATTCTGCTTTTTACAATAGAACAGAGACGTGTGGAGAAATGTTATTAACGTGCATGATGCCATTTTTTTATGTTAATTTGGAATCAATTTGCCAGATAAGGTTAAGATTAGGAGATTTTTTCATTAGTCCCACAGTGGGGAGTTACAGAACAGTATGAATGAGGAGCACACAGCACAAGATAACTCTGTACTAAAAATAATAAAAACTCTAACATTAGCATAATAATAAAAGCAAGTCTAAAATCTCTAACTTTGTGAATGAAACCTTTGTTAGTCCTACAGCGGGGAAATTACAGAAAAATTAAGAAGCAAGAATGAATATATAATAAACAAGCAAGAATTAAGTCTAAAATCTCAAACTTTAGCCCAATAAAGTAGCAAGAATTAAGTATTATTACTCACTTTAGTATAAGAAAGAAACAAATATACACTATAACTTTAGCATAATCAAAAAGCAAGTCTATAATTGTCAACTTTAGCACGATAAAGAAGAAAGAATTACAGTAAGTGTAGGTCTCTGGCTTTAACATCATTAAGAAGTACGTATAAAATCTCTCTTCTGACTTTGTTGTTTTTGTTTTTCCTCTTTCCAGGGAGACATCCAGCAGCTAATGATTGTAGCAGACCACCGCGCTGCCTACGACTACTGTGAGCACTACAACCCCGATTGTGAAGTGGCCGCCCCAGACCAGCCGCAGAACCAGGATCCCAACACCGAAGATTACGTGAGTCCTGCTCGTTTCTCTGATCCCACGTCCACAATCTCTGTTCCATCTACAACATAAAAACCAGGAGCAAAATGGTTTAAAAGTGGTGTAAGATTGTAGCTAGTATTTCATTCATATTTGGAGAGTTCATACGCAAAAACAGATCTCTCCGTTTTGAAATCTTATCCAAATATTGTAATCCTATTCTTGTTCTGTTAATGGTAGTACACTTGAAGGAATTTGCGCAAGAGGGGGTGAAACTTTATTGTATGGCACTAAAAAAGATCTGGCTTTTCACAAATCTACTCGGTAAAGAGAAAATTGTAAGCTTTTCCGATATTTTTCCATGGCACTTATCTGTTTTTGCATATAAACCATTCATTTGTTTGACAGTTGCTATTATCATAAAATAATAGCAACTGCAAACTTTAAAAAAAATATGAAAAAAATTATTCTTCCAAGTGTGAGGCCTGCCTAAACTTGTAGCAAGCTTTCACTCAAGAGTTTAGACGCTAAATACACAAAAATACTCTCTATCACAGTGACCTTACGCAAAAATATCAGTGCATGAGCGGTGATTGATGTGGTGCTGTGAACTTTTGAAGTCCTTGGCCTCGACTAGAATTTTCACTCGCACCAAAAACACAAAAAGATGGAGTGTTTTGACTTCAGAGACTAAAATGCTTTCCTGTTTTAACTGTGTTTTTTGTGTTGTTGCGTTGATAAAGAACACCGAGGATGACCCCTACTACTATGAATACCCTTACTACGGAGACGTGGACGGGAAAGCTTCCGAGGCCACGGGTGAGGAAGAGGAGACGACGGAAGACGTAGAGAAGGTAGCTACGTACAGTACATACATGCTGGTTACAATCTAATGCTTCTGATTTGGAAAATAATCAAGTACGTCGCTCACGTGGCTCCACCAAGCTCTTATTGAATTGTACATAAACTATATTGGACAAAAGAGTGTTTGCACTAATCCCTATTTGCACATTTCTTCTTTTTGCACACACTGGCTGATTCTTTTTCAGTCTATCTCATCTCATCGTATCGTATAGTGTGCGTGTTTTGAAATTAATACTTGTAACTGATATGATACACATATTACAAACAAGTATAATAGAATCAGAATTATTTTTATTGCCAGTGTGAGGAACAGGAAGTCTCACAAATTAGGAAATTGCGTTGGCTCTTTGTGCAAACAGCTTATACAAATAGAATTAGAAAACAAAATCTACATTATTAAAACCATGATTGTATTAAAACTACTACATTACTTACTGTATATTAGCCTGCGTACATAATGTATATATTTGTGAATGGTTGTATTTTGCTATGTATGTCACGAGGTGAAATGATAGAGGACCCAAAATGAAGGAATGCAAGAAAAATAATGAATTAATGAGGATAAAAGACCAGAGACAAACAAACTCAAAAAATTCAAACAGGAACCAGGAAAACAAGACGGTACAGGACAGACGTTGACAATACAATGGACCAGCAACAAGCACAGGGTACATATAGACACACAGACACACAGGTGAAACACATCAGGGCGGGGCAGACGATCAAGACGGGGGAAACAGGACAGGAAGTCAAACTAAAACCAAACCACAGAGAACAGATGTCCAAATAAAACCAAGGTGCAAAATAACAAAATCCACACCATGATGATGTAGATATTTATGTGTCTCTGCTGAGACTGCTGCCCCCGCAACTCGGCAAGGGATAAAGCAGAATAATTTGATGGATGTGTGACTTATTTCAAATTTTGGGAATATAGATGGGTCTGTAGATGATAAGTGTCCGAGCCCTCTCAGCCTGTAAAATTGTAACTGTTTGGATAACAACTGTTGTAAAGAAATAGTGATTGAAACAAAACTTTTTTGTTCAGCTGGCAGGTGCTTCTGACAGTGTTGTGTCCAAAGTGGAGGAGGTCTTACGAGGCAGCGGCGCTGGCAGCGCCGGAAAAATACTCACGTCCATCTCCACCGGCACCAGCACCGGCACCGGCACCAGCAGTGGCACCGGCTCGTCATCATCCGGTTCTTCTAGCAGCTCCTCGGCCTCTTCATCCTCATCATCCTCATCCTCCTCCTCGTCCACCTCAACGACAGGAGACAAAGCCTACGCGGAAGAAGTCAGCCCTTACGACAGCTACGACAGCTACAACTCGTACTACGACGAACCCACGGCCGCCCCAGAGAAGGACACGACTCGGCGCGTCACCATCACCAACATCGGCACCGGAGGCGATATCGACATGGCCATCGGCTCCAAGGTGGATCTGGAGGCGGGGAGCGTCGTAGGAGGCGGAGCTGGAACCATAATCATCACAACCAACAAGACCACGGTGAGTAAAACACTTGTCTCTCACCAAGAAGCTGCATCGTCTCTCCATAAAATACTTCTGTGTGTTCCCATGACCGTCCTGTGTCTCCATGGAAACGCATGTTCACGACTGACACACCCTCATATCCCCCGTTAAGAACCTTTAGATAAGACAATATAAGATATAACTTTCTTGATCTGACAATGGGGAAATGTACATGATATATTTGGCTTCTTTAAGATCACTCAGAGGGTTCAAATAGACAGTTAGACAATAAAAAAATAAGATAAAATGTTTGTATCTAATGTACACTAGAGGCCCTTTAATGGTTTCCTCAACCATTTGGTGGATCACTTCTTGAGTATCTGCTTGAAGCTTGGAACTGAAATCTACCTCTTTGGGGCATCTCACTTGGTTTTAGGCACTTTTACCATCAAACTGCATCTGAACCATTGGGTAAAGGCCTATAATGAAAATAAAAATAAACTTGGGGTTAAAAAAAACTTTAAAAAACTAATGATTTGTGTTATTAGTGCTCCCACATCTTAGAAAATCCAAAACAAGAAAATATTACACTGCTTTCTTCAAGGAGTGACCATTAAAAGGTTAAGAATGTTTAGATAAAAAAAGATAAGATAAAACGTTGTTGATGTCACAAAAAGAGGAATGTACATGTTGCATTTGGCTTCAATCAGATCACTCAGGGTGCGCAAATAGACCAAAAAATATGCAAACAGTTAAAAAGTGAAAACTATTTAAAATACCTTAAGTCCAAGAGGCCTTTAGAGCCATTTCTTCAGGGTCACTTATGAAATACTGTATTATCACTGGCTTTACGAAATGCACTTGAATGGATCTGTGTTTATATTACCAGTGTCATATCAGTGCATGAGGCATCTCTACCCACATACAGCGTGGTGCATGCTATGTATTATTAGAAGATATGATATTGACTTTATAACCCCCGTTGTCAAAACCAGCGAGAGAAAAAGCACTTTTCCTCCCTGCAGCTTCACAGCGGACATTCTTGACATTATGGAATTTTCAGTGTTATATATGTATTTGATAATGATCTGTAATATTCAGCATAGGCAAGAGTGGTGGTCTATGTCATGTATTTTTGGGCAATTATCTTTCTCAACACAAAAAAAAGCCGAATATGCCAACCTATTTCTCGGGTTATGAGCATGTTAGCGTTAGCATTACATTCCCTTCTTATTCATCTGCTTTTTTTCTTCATGGGGAGGATTGTAGAAAGGTCAGACACTATCACTAGACTTAGAGATTTCACTGCACATAATGTGTATGTGACATTAACCCATTCATGGTTTCTTCAAGCAATTGGTGGATCACCTTTTGAGTCAATACATCTACTTTAAGCTTGGAACTGAAATCTGCCTCTTTGGGGCATATCACTTGGTTTTAGGAACTTTTACCATAAATCTGAATTTTAACCAAAAATATGGGTAAAAAAAAATGCATCTGCTCCTACATCTTAGAAAATCCAAAAAAGAAAAAAATGACATTGCTTTCTTTAAACAGTAAATGTTAAAAGGTGTTAACATTGAACTTTATGCTGAAAAAGTGCCTTTCTTCATGAACTTGAACCTAAACACTTGCAGCATGGCTTAACTCTTTCTCTAATGCATCCCTAATAATTTCTTGGTTTGGGATGGCCCTAAATGTATAGTATAGTATAGCCCTGCATCTCATTCACTTGGGGAGGCAGCGTTTCAGATTTATGCTGCTAAAATCCCCTAACCCTCTTCCTGAAGTCTTCCTGAAGTCTTCCTGAATATTTTAGACAGTCTTCTTCTCTGACAATATTTAAATCCAGGTTCAAAACAGTTATTTGTTAGCTGTGTATACAACAGAGGGATTGCATCTTCCCTTTTTTGATTATTTATGATTTGAATGCATTGTATTTTGTTTCCAACTTGTTTTGTTCAGCACTTTGAGTTGCCTTGTGTTACGATACTGTGCAATACGAATAAACTTGTTATTTTAAAGGTTGGAGACGCCTATGATTACGGCGATGGATACGACTACAACATCGACGGCTCTTACACGACAGGTGGAGGTGGAGGTGGCGGCTCTTCGGTTCACTTCGGCGGTGGTGGAGGCGGCAGCAGCAGCAGTAGCAGTAGCAGCAGTTCCACCATCACTACTGGAGGTGGCGCTGCAGGCGGTGGCTCTGTCTCAGTTGGTGGAGGTTCTGTCTCCGTCGGTGGAGGTTCGGTCTCCGTCGGTGGAGGTTCTGTCTCGATTGGTGGTGGTTCTGTCTCTGCGGGAGGGGGTTCTGCCAGTGCCGGTGCTGGGGCTGGGGCTGGTGGGTCCGTTGCCACTGGAGACGGACTGGGCCTCGACGACAAGCTGGACTACGACATCAAGAAGTTCACAGAGGAGGACATCACCGACTACACTGACAGTGAGCTGGACGCGTTTGGAGACTACGGGGACGATCTGGATTATGGACAGAAAGAGAAAGAGCTCCCTGCTGAGACGGATGAGTATTATGGCCAGGTAAACACATGACCAAAGTCATGTCAAGTCAAAAACACAAAAACCACCAAACAGGAAGCAGTGCGTCTGATCCTTGTGTTTGCAGATTGATGGTTCTCGTGGAGAAAAGGGACAGAAGGGTGAGCCTGCTGTCATCGAGCCAGTAAGTTCGATAAGATACAGGAGTAAGCATGGATATATTTAGGTCACATCAAAACAGTTTATCTGGATGGTCTCTGAGAAAGAAACGTAAACATTTGTATAGTAGACAGAAAGTACCTAAGCACAGATTACAGAAATGTACTGCATGAGCTGGGCTTTAAGTCTTTAATGCTTTAAAAGTGTTTGAAGGTTGGACATAACATATGGGCTACATATAGACGTGATAACTGAGAATAAATATTTTACTAAACATTTTAATTTTTATTCTGAAACAATGGAACAAAACGCAGTGAATGTGCTGTATAGTAATTATTGTGTGTTTTTGTTTTGCAGGGAATGCTGGTAGAAGGTCCACCGGGGCCTGAGGGGCCAACAGTAAGTCATCTGAAGTCACACTATTACATTTTCTCAGTTTATGAAAAATAATATAAAGAATATTCTAGTTGGTTTTTTTCTTCTGAAACTTAAGAAAACAAGAAAGAAAACTTTCTGAGACTTTTCTATCGTTTTTTCTTTCTTTCTGTAACTCAAAAAAATACATTTTGGATTTCAGTGGTTCTCTGACTGTAATGTTAATAAAAGCAGCTTTCAATATAATAACATATTCTGAGAGTAATTCAGTGGGATTAGTGCAGTGATGTCCCCGGAGGAGATAAAGAACGTGTCCAGATGTGAAAGAACAGATTTATTTATTTAGCCAAGTTTTCTTAGTTAAACAGTTGCTGCTGACACTCAGCTGATGGAGTGCTGCAGAAATGAGCCACTGAAGCATTAAGCAACAGTCAAACACAGTTGCTCACAAAGGATTTCACACTTAACCCTGTTGTATTGCCTCATGCATTCCGATCCCCACATGTGACCTCTTTGCAAGATAAAACAGCTACATGTACAGCTACAGATATGTAAATCTACTTTACTCTTTCTGTCTAAATCAAAACGTGTTTTCTTTACTTTACAGGGTCTCCCTGGACCCCCGGGTTCTCCAGGTGGTCCAGGCAGCCCTGGAGATCCCGGAGAGAGGGTGAGTAACATCTACTGTCAATATTTAAATAATATTGTACATGTGAAAATAATAAAAGTACTTTTGTGTTTTCTGTAAGGGGGCTCCAGGTCGGTCTGGTCTTGCTGGTGCTGATGGTTTACCAGGACCTCCAGGAACTGTCCTAATGTTGCCTGTAAGTACAATCTGACCAGAGAACCTGGAAAAATGTGCTTTACTACAATTATCTATGTTGTTGACAGTACACCATTGAACTTGGCAAAAAAATCTACTGTATTTCACCTGACAACAAAGACAGGTATTTTCTTGTCAGGGGTTGTCTTTAAAATGATCTTTAAAACATATTTTATTCTTGGCAAAGTAAATATGTTCAATCATTTATCATCCAATGCAGGTCAAAAACACAGCAAAGTCAATCGCAGCAAACTCCAAGTGCAAACACTAAGTTTAAAGTCACTTTTTCAATAGCAGTGAGAACACAGGTGGCACACTTTATAAATTGGCCTCTAGTTTATGGAGTAAAAGATTAATCATGGAAGCATGTTAAATATAGTGATCTCGGTATTCTGAATTTTTCACTTTAAATGTTAATGTTTTATTATGTTAAAACGTGACCGTATATTCCATAGCAGCTTCTTTTTAACTCACAAACCATGTCATTTCACATTATCACCACCAGATGTCACTATTCCTTACTCTACCACAGCCTCCTTAACTACAGGCAAAGAAATAATGATATAAAACAAATAGATAAAAGACCATCACACACAAACATTTTATTGGACATGTGAATCTTATTTTAATTAGTTTTTTTTTTTAAAGTTAAATGTGTTTATAGTTCAGGTTCAGTTCTGGAGGTGACTCTGGGCAAAAGGGACCAGCGATGTCGGCTCAGGAGGCTCAGATGCAGGCCATCATGCAGCAGGCCAGGGTAAGTACAGGCTATTCAAGAATTAAGTGCATATTTCACAAAAAAACATGTGAGAAGGGGTTTCACAAGGGTGGGAATCTGCGTTTTTTCTTCCTCCCACTTCTTGTCAAGTTTGAATCACATACATTATTATAATAAGTAATTGTTGATGAATTATATGTTATAAAATTGCATGTAGTGGCATTTGATAATAAAGTTAGATGTACAATGAACAAGAAATGGATAAAAACTCAACTCAACTTGACAATAATAATAACATTTAGAAACAGGTATTGACAATAGTACCACATTAACAACATACTTTTTTATTATTATTTTATTCCAATCTTAATCCCATTCAATCAAAATATTTCAACAATACAAACAAAGCAAACTACATTTTTGACCATCAGACAAATGAGAGATTTTGTCGTAATTATTTATTCACTCTTTTTCAGCTGGCGATGCGAGGCCCAACTGGTCCGATGGGTTTAACGGGTCGTTCCGGTCCACTTGTACGTATCAGAATAATGATTGTACTTCATGTTTAAAATCTTTTGTTCATGAGTTTTATCTCCATCATGTGTTCAGGGACCTCCCGGTGTCCCAGGTCTGAAGGGTGAATCAGGAGAAGCCGGGCCACAGGTTGTCAATCACAAGGCACATTTTTTGGATTAGTTTAAGTTCATATTTTTTACTGAACGTGCTGCTTTCAGGGACCGAGAGGACCCCTGGGCTCCGCGGGACCTCCTGGAAAACCCGGCAGAAGGGTATGCTCTTGTCAAGATATATTTACCAAGAGAATAACCCTTTTGTGTCTTTAAGTTCTTGAAAAGCGCTGTGTAAAACGTTGTTCTATTATTATTATTATTATTATTATTATTATTGATATTAACATTGGAGAAAACAGGTTTATAATGCTTGTGCAGATATTAAAATTTAAAAAAAATAATTATTAGTTTTATACGACAGGGACATTGTGCAGTACAAAACCTTTCTGTGAATATAATTACTATATATGCAGTTTAACCCTTGCATCAATAAATATTTAGTTTTATTTGACTTCTTTCAGGGCCGATCTGGAGCTGATGGAGCGAGAGGCATGCCAGGCCAGTCTGGACCAAAGGTAATATGACGCTTTTATGAAATATCTCTACAACTGAAGGATTATATCTTCACTCTTTTTAAGTTTAAGTTTAATTTATTAAGGACAATGGCTGCACCAGAATTAGCACCAGCGACTTTCCATCTGTGGTCCTTGACAATACGATCACATAACGAACATAAAAATATACAGTTAAATAAAAGTTTTATGAAAGTGCAAGTTACTAAAATACAAATTAAAATACAATCAGGAATATAAGCAGTCAGTGTGGCAAACTTTCTATATCTCTGCACACTTTATACAATGCATATTATTATTTATGACTTGAATCCCATATTTTAAGGTTTTTAATTACTTGTGTGATTTTATTGAGTATGTTTTCATTACTTCCTGGGATCTTAATGTTTGTTTTTAACTATATTTTGTAATGTTTCTGTAGATTTTAATGTGTATGATTCATGCCTGTTGTGATATGGATTGTGTGAAGCGCTTTGTGTTGCCTTGTGTAGAAAAAGGCGCCATACAAATAAAAATGGATTGATTGTTTATTGTATGTGATCTTCAGGGAGACAGAGGCTTTGACGGCCTGGCTGGGCTTCCAGGTGAAAAGGGACATAGAGTAAGTGTATTTATTGTGTGCATAAATAAATATATATATAAAATTATGGACAACAACTAAAATATGATATTGTGATATTGTTACAGGGGGAATCTGGACCTTCGGGGCCCCCGGGATCACCAGGCGAGGATGGAGAAAGAGTGAGTGTTGCATTCAAGGCAATAGATTCAGATTAAATTTATTTGCCATTTGCAGTAAAACCACCTTGGAATACATTTGCAAAAGTCCCCAGTGTGCACCAGACAAGTGCATACATAAACAAGGTTAAAAGTTCAGGAATAAAACAAACTAAAAAAAGGGCAGGAAACAAATGACGTTGAATTATTATATACCATATTTTTCGTATCATAAGTTGCAGTTTTTGTCATAGTTTGGCCGGGGGTGTGACTTATGTGTGAAATTATTACATTTCAGTTCAAGAAGATATCTATGGATTTAGTGATTAGCATGATTAGCAACTTTAGCATGTTCTATGCTAAAGTTATGGCTCTTACTGTAATATGTTGCGTTAACAATCCAAGCACGTTCTCAGTTCATTGTTTATGCCTCATATAACGTAAACTTACTCAGGCTGTTGTTCTCTATTCTATTTTCATTTTAAATTGCCTTGAGAGAGCTACTTTCCTGGGACGCTAAAGTCAGAGAGCTATTGGTGTGAACAAGCCTGATATTGTGTACAGTCATTACTTACCATCACATAGTTGTTACAAGTGACAAATTAAATTCATTTACGAGAATAAGTAACAATAATAAACAATACAATCTGAAATATTAAGTATATTATTTGATTTGTTCATTTCTAAATCCTTTGGTGAGCTACCTTCAAGGGGATGGGGAGCTACTGGTGGCTCCCGAGCTACATGTTGGAGTCCCCTGCTCTAGTGCGACTTACATATGTTTTTTGTTTTTTTTTGTATTTTGCATTTTTCGGCAGGTGCGACTTATAAACCTGAGCGATTTATTATCAGAAAAATACGGTATACGTAAAATAATAAAATAAATATATTCAGTGCAAACTAGTCCATTTACGGGCCACACATGATCAATTCCAACGCATTGGTTTGGAGACATCTCACGGCGTTGTACGTGCTGTTTGCTACACGCTCGTCAGACACTTTCTCATATATACATGACTATACATGTTGTTACCGTATTATTGCCCCCGTCTCACCTGTTTCTCAAATTCCCCCTGAAGATCCTTTATACCTCACACTGCGTTTATGCTTCCACCGCGCTCATTACCTGCTGCTAATGCAACCCGAGTCTGTCTCTGCCTCGGTGCCATTATCGCTTCATACCCCACCTCACACATCCTCAATTTCCTCTCCATTATCATTGTGTCTGTTCCACTCTCTCACTGCTCTTTCCTTTTCTCAGGGCGATGATGGAGAGATCGGACCCCGGGGACTTCCTGGTGAACCTGTGAGTGATCGCTTCCATCACCCTTTTCAGTCGTATTCCGAGAGCTGATGGAGCTAGAGGTCAAAATGTGCCCTTCCAGAAAGTCGTTATATATGCGTTATGTTGTACAATATGGCACAGTGCAATTAGCATGTCTTTCTTATGGTTTGTATGGTGTGTTTTAAAAACTATAAAGCAAATCAAAGAGATATTTCACTTTGTTGCTTCGGAAGATGCCTCGCTGATACAATATCTCAGTGACTTTATCTATACTACTACACTGTTAAAACACATGGGTTGGAAAAACGACATATTTTGAATTTTTTCTTAAGACAAAATGTGTTTATTGTTTATGTAAAACATGGCTTGGTAAACCCATAACCATCAATGCTGCAAGTTATTAGTAATAATTGAATATCATTTTAATTATTACTAAGAACTTGCAGCATTGATGGTTATTGATTGATCAATTATTTTAGGGGCGACAGTAGCTCAGTTGGTCGAGCATTGGCCAGAAGGTCGTGGGTTCAATTCCCACCTCTGCACCTTCTCCATCGACTCCCACTGATGACTGCTGTTGTTGTATCCTTGGGCAAGACACTTAACCCCACTTTGCCCAAAGCCCTCACTGAAAGATCAAGGCTATGCTCACACTCAGAGAGCAGCCGTCCTCCTGTGGACTCACCACCTGCAGAGGATCAGTGAGGGGCCAATAAATATTGTCTTGAGGGCCGGATTTGGCCCACGAGCCTGAGTTTGAAATTCCGCTGAGTTAGTTTAACAATATATTTTAAGACCCATTCACATTGGTTGGAAGCTAAATAGATGAAAAACACTACCATTATTCACCTCAGTAAGTTACATGTGTATTTAGTGCCGTGCCATCTGTGAGTGAAAGCCTAAAATTGTCAGACCGCAGTAGCTAAGCAGGGCAGGTTCTGGTTAGTACTTTGATGGGAGAGCCCCAAGCTGTTGTGTCCCTTATTTCCTTAATAAAATAGAAAGAAAATAAAAAGACTTAATTATGTCTGCTTTGTGAATAAACTTAATGTTCTGTTCTGTTGTATAGAATACACACAGCACACAGATGGGTGTTGTGCTCTTAAGCAAGACCCACATTGCCGAGTATGAGTTACATGTGCGGATGATTGGTGGTAGTCAGCCATCATCCAAGATTCAAGATTCATTAATTTATTCGCCATTTGCAGTAAAACCACATTGGAAAAACTGTGCAAGACTTCCCCAGTGTGCACAGTACACACCAGCGCTCCTGCCACGGCACCATTTTTACGGCGACATGCGTTTGATTATTATAATGATCAGAATAAATAACATATCAATTTATTCTGATCATTCTGAAGAATATTTAGCTATGCATAAGTCGGCGCTGTGTCCATTGTAGACAGCTGAAACACAACCATTTATAGATTGGTCGTTCAAACCAAAAAATAAGGCGGACACAAAACTTCCAAATAGATTCCTTTGTTGTTGAATGTTTTGAAAAGAAAAGAGAATGTTGTTGGTCATGATTGTGAAGAATAAATAATGTATATGTATTTGTTATTGGAGAGGGATGTATTTGAAAAGTCTGAAGGGTCTAATCTCGCCTTATGATAGGGACCTCGTGGTTTGTTGGGACCAAAGGGACCTCAAGGACCTTCTGGACCTCCCGTAAGTCATATTCAAAGCTCATAAATATCTACAAATGTATGTTGTTGTTGTGGATTAATATGAATGTACTTGTTCCCAGGGCGTGACTGGATCAGACGGACCACCGGGACCAAAAGGAAACATCGTAAGTGTTCCTCAATTACAATTAAACATGTAATTTCTCAATGTTCAGGATGACGTTTGATTGATACAGTACAGACAAATGTAGCCTGTATCTATTCAAGTCTTTTTCTACATGTAAAAGTATCCCTACATTTCTTCATAACTGAGATTCTACAACATGTATGGACATTTATCAACATTCATGGACATTGGTCAACTCCCTATGGACCACTACCAATGTGTTCTATATTTTTGTGTTGATTCTCTGATCTGTGTTGGTGATTTCAATGCTTTGGTTATATTGTGTTATATCGATAATCAACTTGTATCTGTTGTGTGTTTCCAGGGTCCTCAGGGAGAGCCAGGACCCCCCGGACAGCAAGGGAACCCCGGTGCTCAGGTGAGAAACCACTCATTACTAGTTGTCTCCATATTTAGCATAAACTTCTTCATTGTTCAAAAAATATGTTTGTTTCAGGGACTCGCAGGACCACAGGGAGCCATTGGACCCCCAGGGGAGAAGGTAGTGTGCTGCTTTTGACTTCATTCAAGATTCAAGAATTGATTTGCCATTTGCAGTAAAACCACATTGGAAAAACTGTGCAAATATATATGTGCATATACTTAAATATACGTTTATCCTGTAATAATAATGGAATTGTATTAGTTACTTTCAACAGGATTCTACCACATCAGGATTTGAGATGTTGACTGTTTTATCTATGTATTATTTGTTCAAAGTATGAATTAACAGTAATGAAAACTATACCATAACAATAGTTTATGTATTGTTTGAGTAATTCTTGCTTGTGTCTAGGGTCCCACAGGAAAACCAGGTCTACCAGGAATGCCAGGAGCTGATGGTCCTCCCGTGAGTTACTCTTACTCCTGCATCTGATTTATTGTTAATGTGATGAACAAAATATAACCAACGTCGACAGTTCAAATAAATGATATAATAGAATGAAATAGAAGCAATGCTATTCTACACCATCAGTTTAACCAGATGTAAAGCTTAATGTGTTTGTCTCCACATGTTTATTTAGCTGCGTTTGTTACACGTACAATAGTGTTTATTTGAGAGAACCCTGAGAATCCTTCTTTCATAAACCTCTCATTAGTCCAGCCACTTCTTTCCTTTTCCACCTCTTTTTTCTCTCACCGGAGTCAACATCATCAGGGGATTTGTCAGTTTCCTTTGTCTCCTCAGAAAGCAATCAAGTCCCTTCCGATCTTCTGACTGCAGATGTTTGTGTGTGTGTGTGTGTGTGTGTGTGTGTGTGTGTGTGTGTGTGTGTGCCTCCTGGAGGACAGCTTTGGCTTTTAGAGGCCCTTTTTGAGCTGCAGCTGAACTGCAAAAAGTGGTAAAAAAAGTCAAAATTGCTCATATTTGCCCAAATGTATCTTAATTTGAGCACATTTTGACTGCCTTAAAAAAAAATTGCCAATGGGAAAAGTAAAATTATCTTGTTTTTAAAGATAGAAGAAATGTCTCCCTTGGAATAAGAAAATAAGTAAGTTAGTAGGTAATCTGTATTTATATAGCGCCTTTCACAGATCAGAGTCACAAAGAGGTTTACAATTGTACACAGAGAACAGGGTCGCCATACAGGAGGCAAATGCCAGACCTAATGTACATGTTTTTAGTAGTAGGAAACCTATGCAGACACTGGGAGAACATGCAAACTCCACTCAGAAAGGCCCTGTTTCGACAGGGATTCGAACCCAGAAACTAGCGAGAGTGCTATCTATCCAACAGTTCTTGAAAAATGACTAAATAGCTTTGTCCCATCGGCAAATCATGTTTTAAGACAGTCAAACTTTACTCAAATTATGATTTAAAAAACAAAATTCAAGTATTTATTACTTCATATTTTTATATTTTTTTGCGATGCGGTTTATGATACAAAATGACCGGAAAAAGTAAATATGCAATGCTCCTATATTTACCAATTTTCTAAAGGCTGTATTTGTGTCGATCTTTCAAACCGACAAATATAGTAAAATATATTCCTTTTCCATTTGCAGGGTCACCCCGGGAAGGAAGGCCCCCCTGGAGAAAAAGGACATTTGGTAAGCGCCTTTTTGTCTTGATTAACAATTCATGCTCATTAAATTCAAGTAGTATTTAACCCTGGCTGTTGGTGCAACACATCTCATAATCTGACTCTCTGTGTTGCAGGGTCCCTCTGGTCCTCAGGGTCCGATCGGTTACCCTGGACCTCGCGGAGTCAAGGTGAATACAGCTGTGTTAATGCCGCCATTATCGTTAACAATTACCATTAGCGGGTTAGATGAACAAGTGTGTAATGACATATCTCGACTGAAGCATACCTTACGTTTCTGTGGTCTTTGACAGGGAGCCGATGGTGTGCGTGGCCTTAAAGGAGGCAAGGGCGAGAAAGTAAGTATAGCCTTTACCGTGAAATGCATGGATTTACCTGCGATAAATGTTACAATAAAGTCCTACCTTTTTCTTCGCTGACTGGACTTTGAATGTCCAACTATCGATTACATTAATTACACGGCCGCCTTGACTGCCGGTTACTATGGCAACAGGCGCGATGGAGTTGGAGTGTTATTAACATTCTCACCTCTGTCCTTCACCCACAGGGAGAAGACGGCTTCCCAGGGTTTAAAGGAGACATGGGCATCAAGGGCGACAGGGTAAGAGAACATTTTTGTGCTGTTAAACTACACTTTTTTGGGGGGAAAAATCTTTGTGGCTCGTGTGCGATTGTAGAATGAGAAATTGTCACTGATTCACCAAAGACGATTATGCAGCTGAAGTAGAACATTCAAACCGGGAGACTAGCCTGGTTCTTGGTCTTCATGTCTTGTCTACTACTCCTGAGATTATCAAACAATCAGCCTCTCAGTGTCACTCTATGGGCCTCTCAGTGCCTGCATCAAGCTGCTGTTCATGCAGGAAACACCCTCCTCCACATCACTGCCACAATAGCGTATAATATATTGATAATTGTCATGTTAGCGGTTCAGCTTCCTTCAACACCAAGGTCTAGGCTCAGGGGGTTTGCAGCTCAAAGTCTCTTTTAATATCACTCCTGCCATATCTCTGCAGGGCTCTAAACGTCTTTTGTATAAAACGTTTGGTAGAACCAGCTCATATCTTCAAAATAATGTTTTTTAGATAGAATGAAACAATATTTATCCAGAGCTAAGATAAAATTGTGTCATATCTGTCTATGCCTTTATTGGTCTGTTAACAGTTGCATAGAAATTTGGAGAGGACATAACAAAAAAGTGATTATATTTATATTCCTGCTCTTTCTTCATAAATGTATTGTGTTGAACTATAACATTTTGGTACAATTATGAGTAAGCATGATAATCCCAAATGTTTTTATTTTACCTTGCCCTCAGAGCTGGTAACAATGACCAAGATGGAAATTGATAAAAGCAATTTGATTATTAGAAATGTTTCAATACACATGACGACAATGCAACAAACTAACACACATAAGATAAAAAACTGTTTAAGTTTGACACAGATCAAAAGATATTTAAAAAAATGGGTGATAAGTAAGTACCTGGAAGAGAGAATATGATACCTTTATGTGGATGTGATAGCGGGAGAGGGGTGTAGGGTCGGTGAGTTTTGGGCCTGCATGGTTGTGTTGTGTTGAAGATGGTTTTTTTCCCTCTTCTTTGTGGAAAAAAGTCTTAATGGATAATATTGTATAGCATCGTAATGTATTTATTTTCTTCTTGTGTTGTATTGTACCGGCTTGGAATAAGCTAAACTGAACTAAGATTTAATTAAGATCCCATCATCCCCCTTTAAAACCAAGCGGACTTTCTTTTTTTGTTTTCATGTTTGTATACACCTGCAAAACACAGGCATAACAAGGAGGTGGGGACTCCAAGTGTAAGCATTGGACTGGGCCGGTGCAGAAGCAGCCATTCTGGATTATTCCAATCTCAGACTAAAGCTCACTCGGCCGGACAGAAGAGGAGACAAAACCAGAAAACCACAAATAGAAAAATACTGCGCTCTCAGGGCCAAGGGGAAAGAGCTTAAAGCCCGGGGTCATATCCAAACACAAATAAACAGCAGAATTAAGCAATACATTTCAATAAAAGTGACTTATCGGATTCAGTTTGGTTGATTTGCCATTTGCAGTAAAACCACATTGGAATACATCCGCGAAAGTCCCCAGTGTGCGAGGTTTAAAGTACGGGAATAAAATAAACAAAACAGGAAACAATTGACACAACTAAAACAGTTTCAAAACAAAGGCAAGATCCTTTAAAGTCTGTTCAATATCTGTGCTGTTATTCAGATCAAATATATGTATGATATTACATTTCTCAAAATATGTTGTTCCATAAGTTTGTGAATGATAAATCGCTGATCTAAGTCAAACTGTGGGCGTTTCTAGTCTAAGGAAATTCTGTCCGAGCCAAACATCACATCTGACAGTTTGACCTATAGTTGCGATGAAAGAAAATGTCACAAATTTCTCAACAACATGAGACAATGAAGGGTGCCTTAAAGGTGCATTACCTCACTAGGCCTGTCACGATAACAAATTTTGCTGGACGATTAATTGTCTCAGAAATTATTGCGATAAGCGATTATATTGTCGTTCTGAGATCATTTGCATCGATTACAATGATAATGCAGGTACACTTTTTCAAAGAGAAATAAACTTTTATTTTTAACGAATATTTAACGCTAGAACACAATAAATTAACAAACAACCAAAAACAATAAATAAAATAGACTCAGTCTCTTAACAAAAAATGACCAGGAATAAAACTACCAGGACCTTTGTAAAGAAAATATGAAACAGATGCCTCAAATGTCAATAATTTCTCAGACTTTATGGCAGATTACGAGAAAGAAATACCAACATGTTGTCTTTGTGTGGCTTAAGACAGGATCTCTCAGGAGTAGTCCCACCTCCCCACACACCAGGCGAATGACAAGTGACTGACATGTGGGTTTACCAATGGGGCGTACAGAAGTCCTGCTGCGGTAGCGCCCACCGGAAGTAGCGGGGCGGGCTTTGATGCTAACAGCTAAGCTAGCGGGTTTTTTGTGTAAAGTTCTACTCCAAGAATGCAAGTCTGCAGCATCTCTGTGTTCAGAGACCTTCTAGAGACTTTATATAACAGCAGTATGTGTTCACGGAGGTGCGCCATAAGTTTATTTAATTGGTATGGTACGGTACTTCTGCATCGGCGAACACGCTAACGCTAGCTGCGCTAGTATAGTCACTAATCAAGCCTGAATGAGAACTCAGCTGCCGGCATATGTTCACAACTACTGTGTCCCCCATTGTCAATCCTGGTTAAGTCCTGGTTTAGGTCCTGTTTTGGCTGTATTTTGTATTTTTGAGTAATTTCCGTCTGCTTGCTAGACCGCTAGTGTTCCCGTGACCACTTTGCGGCTCTCTGACCCGAGAGAGACGGGGGGAAACGAAACAAACAAGCATGCAAATGGGATTTATCGCAGCCAGAAAAGTTATTGAGCAAATTTTATTTATCGTGCGATTAATTGATTTATTGACTATCGCGACAGGCCTATACCTCACTTTATTTTTGTATTCATTACGAAATTCACTCCATATCGATTCAATGCATTGGGATATACGTCCTTTTGAAGAAAAAGTAGTGCTGGTTTGTGCTGCGCGTCATTGAATTTTAGATCAAATCTTTGTGAAACAAGGAAGAGTGGGGGATTAAAGCTTTTTGAATGCGGGGAGGGACGCTGAAAGAGCAAGCCCAGCGCTCACATTCGAAAATGTCACAAAGTGAGTTAGTGGAGCTTTAACCCTAACATTCACCTGCAGTAATTTATTCATTAGAAAATACTATAATACAGTGAAAACACAAACACACCATCTCACACTTTAATCATCAAACAGGTGGCACTGTAAAGCTAAGCCCTCGCAAACTGGAGAGATGCTGCAAATCCAAATGAAAGCAAGCATTTAAGACGGCCCTGGACTTTGAGGGGACGGAAACGAAGCAGAGTGAAACTTGGAAACATTTTTGAAGAACATTTGGGCTTGATTTTGAGAAACTTCTGTATCAGTTTATGTGTAAGTTAGGGTTGCATAAACACAAAGAGACAGGTCCAGCACAAGAGAGAACTAAAACGAAATACACAGGCAAACTGTATAACTGGAAGAAAATTAAAACTCAAACTTGAGACTTGGGTTTGTTTACTGCACTGTTCACATAACCCTGTTCTTACTGTGTGTACAGTGGACAGCTACAGTACAAATAAGCAATGTGTCAATAAACCTAATTAACCAAAAACGTCAGAGGTCAAAAACAAGATCTTTACCGTTGGACTCCCTCTTCCCCAGAATAGTCACCGCTCCTTCTGTCAATCTCACTTCTGAACAAGTCCCAGAGATACTTGAACTCTTCCACTCGAGGAAGGGACACAGTTTTGCGAAGGCGAGGGCCGACCATTGCCGCTTGCACCTGCTTCACCTTACACTTCATGCTCTAAAACCGCCTTGTGAATGTTTAGGGTGAACTTGGACCAGCTGGACCCAGAGGCGAGGACGGCCCTGAAGGTCCAAAGGGCCGCTCAGGTCTTCCAGGAGACCCAGGCCCTCTTGGAGGTACTGGTGATAAGGTAAATATGTGAATGTTTTCCTCAAACACTAAGCTTTGTTTAGATGGTTGCTAAGTTGGGAAATGTTGTTTTTATGTTATTTATTGTGGTAAAATCTTTTCCAGGGTAAACTTGGTGTTCCGGGGTTGCCTGGATATCCAGGAAGACAAGGACCAAAGGTGATCATTTCGTCATTGTTGTTTTATCTATTGGAATCGTCTTGATAATTGTGTGTTCATGGTCACATCATGAATCATGAACTAGCATCGTACATATTTCCTTCAGTTGTTTTAGATAATAACGCACTTCATTTCTATTACACAGGGATCTCAAGGATTCCAAGGATTCCCTGGAGCCAATGGAGAGAAAGGAACTCGAGTAAGTTATACATAATAGATTTGGTTTAGAGGATTAGACCAAACCATGCAGCAAAGTGATATGTCTATATTCACTATAAATGTCACATTCCTCAAAGTCATTAATGTGAAGAAAGTGGTTCATAACCAGTGTGATACTCTGCATTCTACAGCAGTGACCAGCTCTCTTTTATGCATCGTAAAAGGTTGTAGTAGAAAGAAAGTTTTCACACTTCACATCACATGGATGTGAAGTGTGGTAACACATGTATTCCTCTAGGGGGTGCTCCAATGAGGTGTGAATGTGAAGAGCATTAATTACATTACTGTATTATTTTTATAATCACAAAAATCACAGAAAAATTATTTTAATCAAAGATGCGCACCATCGTTCCTTTTGAAAGTCATTACTGAAAGCTGAGGCGGACACGTGTAAGTGTCCAAAAAATGTCTTTTTTTCAATATTTTATTTTAGCATTTAGTATTTGTGAATGTTGTGCAAACTGGTTTAGAATATGACATATTTTATCTGGAATACTTACTGACAACAACATTGTTCCACTTGGGCCAATTTCGAAGGCGATGGATTTGAAAGAAAGGCTTGATCTAGTCTTGGTCCATGTCATTTTCATTTCATTGACCTATATTTATTTTACTAAGAGCAAAAAATGTAATGAAATCCAGATATGAATAGATATAATATGTGTTTATTGAAATAATAATTCTATTACAGTGAACTGAGATGTCTGTCGCCTGCAGGCCGTTGAAATAAACTCATTATTTGATCGTTGAATTTTCTTTTGATGTCCACAGGGAACAGGAGGAAAACCTGGCCCACGCGGACAGAGAGGGCCAACGGTTAGTATTACTCAGCACAGCCCTGGTTGTTTACAGATGGCAGTCTTGGCACACAAGTCTGTCGGGGATTCGAGCATCAGTGATAACTCAGCTTTTGTTCATGCTTCTAAAGGGACCTCGCGGAGAGAGAGGGCCCAGAGGACCAACAGGAAAAGCCGGACCAAAGGTAAATTTCATGCGTTGTCACATTTATTTTATTTTTGATAGAATGATAATCATATTAAAACTAAAACATTTTATTCAGGGTAACTCTGGAAATGATGGTCCACCAGGACCTCCTGGTGAACGGGTGTGTATGATCATTTACCATAACGTACTAGGACTATCATGTCCATCATTGTTAACTATGTGTTTATTTAGGGTTTGCCAGGACCTCAAGGACCAACTGGATTTCCTGGTCCAAAAGGGCCGCCGGTAGGTCTTTATAAACTTATTTTTTTCTCTCCCAAGATTCTGAGCAAACTTGTGAATGATTCGGTTTCAGGGACCTGCAGGCAAAGATGGACTTCCTGGACATCCTGGGCAAAGAGGAGAGACTGTGTGTAACAACATATCAGTATCAATGTTGTAAAGTGAGTTACTTTAGCATCATTTAACAGCTTCTCACTGCTCCTCACAGGGGTTCCAAGGAAAGACGGGCCCTCCTGGTCCACCAGGTGTGGTTGGGCCTCAGGTGAGTGACAGACTCTCACGTAGTAGCTACTGCTAACATGTTTCTCTATTATAAGTATATTTCAACTCCTCTGCAAACACATGTCACACTGCAGAACACACACGTCACACTGCAGAACACACACGTCACACTGCAGAACACACACATCACACTGCAGAACACACACGTCACATGATCCTACTCCCACAGAAATGAACCAAAGATACATTGGTGTCATTTTTATCAATTCAATAGAAAACTGCAAAACATTATCATTAAAGTCTGCGGTTGATTACATTGTTTGATATTGAATATTGTTGAAAACTCCAAACAGGGACCAACTGGTGAGACTGGACAAATGGGTGACCGTGGTCATCCTGGACCTCCAGGCCCTCCTGGTGAACAGGGTCTAAATGGAGCTGCTGGAAAAGAAGGCGCAAAGGTAAATAATTTTTATTTGAATCTATGAATTTTGTAAATGTTTGATTTGTCTTTATATCACAGAGGGATGTGTACTTTGTGTTTAGGGTGATCCTGGTCCTGCTGGCCCTGCTGGTAAAGATGGACCACCTGGACCAAGAGGTTTCCCTGGAGAGAGAGGCCTGCCTGGTCCGGTGGTAGGTTACTTACTTGTAGCATGCAAAATCCTGTTTCGATTATGTTCAAAAATCATGTTTTTGTTTGCGACAGGGAGCTCATGGACTGAAAGGAAATGAAGGTCCCCACGGCCCACCTGGTCCTGCAGTGAGTACAGCCTGCAGATGGTACTTTTCATTAAAGAACATGATAGTGACAGAACAAAGCAGCTGCTCTATTGTTATTATCTATGACTTTTGAGATCATTATAAATACAGTATGTAAAATATCAATGTTGATCTAAAGATTTTTGAGAAACAAATCTGTTTATTTGACATATCAAAGTCAGATTTCTGAAGTTACATTTCCTGTATTACATTGCACCAATGTCTCTGTAAACATTTCACTGTGTTCATTTAATGTATTCACTGCTTCAGGGTTCTCCTGGTGAACGTGGTCCAGCTGGCCCTGCCGGACCTACTGGACTTCCCGGACGTCCTGGACCTCAGGGTCCACCAGGCCCATCTGGAGAAAAGGGTGGACCGGTAAATGATTTATCTAAATACATGCATACATTTGATATACTATAATGTTTGGTCCATAATTTACTACAATGTTATATTTTATTTAGGGTGAAAAAGGACCTCAAGGCCCAGCTGGAAGAGATGGCATTCAGGGACCAGTTGGTCTTCCTGGACCCGGAGGTCCCCCTGGACCACCTGGGGAGGATGGAGACAAGGTCAATCAATCAATCAATCAAAGTTTATTTATAAAGCGCTTTTTCATACAACAGATGCAACACAAAGTGCTTTACAGTTTGGCTAAAAAACAATCCTGCCCATGCCCTCCCCTCGACCGCCCAACAGACCCTCCCCAGACCACAAGCAAACACCCCCCCCCCCCCCCCCCCCCACACACACACACACGCGCACACACACGCGCACACACACACGCACCGATAAAACAATAAAACGATGATAAGAGACTTGGCAGGGTTCAGATGCAACCGGCTGAAGAAACGCCATCCAAGGAGCCGTCAGCGCCAGGAGCAGAGAGCCGCCCATAGCCAAAGGGGACGACACAGGACCCAGAGGGGACCCAAAACCGAGGCCCCGGGCCCCCACCAGGTCCAAGAGTCCGACCCCCACAGCCACAGCCAACCACCGCTCCCAGCGCAGAGGGCTCCTCCAGAGGAAACACTGGGGATACTTAAAAACAATACAATAAGTAAAACACTAAAATGTGAGCCTGAAAGGAACTATCACACAAAACATGAATAAAAGCAATAGCAATATAATAAATAATAAAGGATAAATAGAATATATAAAAATGGACTAATAAATACTAATCAAAAGCTAATCTAAAAAGGTGTGTCTTGAGCCTGGCTTTAAAAATATGAACGTTCTCTGCGGCCCTGAGCTCCTCCGGCAGACTGTTCCAGAGACGGGGGCCGTAGTGTTGGAAAGACGCCTCACCGTGAGTGTGTGTCCTGACTTTTGGAATGGTTAGGAGTCTGCTGCCGGAGGAGCGCAGGGGCCGGGAGGGTTCATAGGATAAAAGCAGTTCTGAAAGATAAGAAGGCCCAAGACCATTAAGACATTTGAAAACCATTAGGAGAACCTTAAAATCAATCCTGAAACACACGGGGAGCCAATGCAGCGATTTTAAAACCGGTGTAATGTGGTCCCGCCCCCTGGTCTTAGTCAGGACACGTGCGGCCGAGTTTTGGAGTAATTGTAAACCTGAAATGTTCTTTTTGGGAAGACCAGAGAGCAGGGCATTACAGTAGTCAATGCGACTGGTTATAAAAGCATGCATCAGCGTCTCCGTGTTGGCCCGAGAGAGAATGGGGCGGACTCTGGCGATGTTCTTTAAATGATAAAAACCTATTTTTGTTATATTCTTAATGTGAGGAATAAAAGTCAGCTCAGAGTCAAAAATTACGCCCAGGTTTTTCACATGTGGTGATGGATTAAAAGAGTGTGATTGGAGTTTTGGTAAAAGTTTCTCTCTCTGGGCCTCAGGACCGATGACTAAAACCTCAGTTTTGTCCTGGTTAAGCTGGAGAAAGTTTTCTGCCATCCAGGATTTCAGGTCTAAAATGCAGTTAAAAAGAGCATCCATTGGCCTGGTGTCATCAGGAGACATGGAGATGTACAGCTGAGTATCATCTGCATAACTGTGGAAGTTAATTCCATGTCTCCTGATGACACCGCCAAGAGGGAGCATGTACAGGTTAAAAAGGACTGGACCTAAAATAGAACCCTGGGGCACACCACATGTGATTTTATGGACCTGAGAGGAGCAGGTATCCAAACTTACCATGAAGGATCTGTCTGTTAAATAAGAAGTGAACCATTTGTGGACAGCACCAGAGAGGCCGAGGTGTTTCAGGCGGGATAAAAGAATGGTGTGGTCTACTGTGTCGAAGGCAGCGCTAAGATCCAGTAGAACCAACACAGTCACCTTTTTAGAATCATAATTTAATCTAAAATCATTTAAAATCTTTAAAAGAGCCGTCTCTGTGCTGTGGTTCACCCTAAAACCTGATTGAAATGTCTCTAAAATTTGCTGTTGATCTAAAAAGGCATTGAGCTGGGTAAAAACAAGTTTTTCTAAAATTTTGCTTAAAAATGGTAAGTTGGACACCGGTCTGTAGTTGTTAAGATCATTAAAATCTAAATTGCTCTTCTTCAGAAGGGGTCTCACCACAGCCGCTTTGAAGGCTGCAGGAAAGACCCCAGTCTGAAGAGAGCAATTCATCAGGTTTAAAAGCTCCTCTCTAAAAGATTCATAAAATGACTTGGGGACTGGATCTAAAAGACATGTGGTGGGCCTCACTGAGGAGAAAACTTTATCAAGCATCTCAGCATCAACCAGGACAAAACTGTCCAGTGTTTCCTCTGGCGAAGACAAACAATCAGATGTGTTAAAAACAGTAGTACAATTGGATAAAATGTTACATCTGATTGTGTTTATCTTCCCCATGAAGTGGACTGCAAAATCCTCACAGAGGGAGTCTGTGGGGGTTAAACGAGACATGCTAAAATCAGGGTTTAAAATGGTGTCAATGGTTGAAAATAGGACTTTCGCATTGTTTTTGTTTTGGGTGATTAGTTTTGAGAAATAATTGTTTCGGTTTTTCCTAATTGTTTTGTCGTATGTTTTTTGTTGGTTACTGTACATTTCGTAATTGATTGTTGTTTTGTTTTTCCTCCACCTACGTTCCGCCACCCTGCACTCTCTTTTCATTCTCCTTACTTCTTCGTTCCTCCATGGGGGTACAGATTTTGTTCCGGTAGTTTTTGTTTTCAAAGGAGCAACCTGATCTAACGTAGTTTTGAGTCTACTGTTAAAATCATTTGCTAACAGATCACAGGGGGCGGGTAAAACCAAGTGAGGAGTGTTATTAAGAATGTCTATAAAATTTGCAGCCACTTCAGGGGTTAGATGTCGCTTCCTCAAGGTCAGCCTTATTCAACCTAGAAAATAACAAAATAGAATATTGGTCACTGAACAACATTATGAAGTCCAAGGAGCACACAGTGGGATGACGAGGCAGTAAAGTTTAAGGTGAAGACATTTTTGTGGCATATAACATACCAAGACTTGGCCGTCTGCCCAAACTCTCAGCTTATACAAGGAAAACACGAATCGCAGATGCAGACAAGAGGCCAATGATGACTCTGAAGGTGCTGCAGACATCCGCAGCTCACCTGAGGAACTCTTTACATGGGGGAAATAATCATACGCTACACAAGTCTGGTCTTTATGGACTTCAAGTGGAAAATAAAAAGCCATTATTGAAATAAATCCACAAGAAATAAAGCGATGAACACATCCATTATGTGGAAGAAGACATTGTGGTCAGATGAGATCAAAAGGAACTTTTTGGCCTAAATTCCAAACACTGTGTTGTGGACCTGGCTGATCTTCGGCTCTCGGACACTTCCCAGCTGTTGTTAAAATGTGATTATGCTTTTGTGCTGCTGCACTGAAGCCCCCTCAGCACAGCTCTGTCTGAGGCCTTTGCCCCTCCCTCTGCTCCCTCAGCACAGAGATGGAATCAGACGCTGCTGCATCATGTGTTATTCACAATAACTTTGTGACTGAGTTCACTTTACTTCATCCAGAATGAATTAATAAGTGCAAAAGAAAAAAATTGTGTGACCAGTAAAAGGGGAAAACCAAAGTTTACTCATAATTTAAATAAAATATTTTGTAGATTTTTATTTGAAAATTAAATGAAATAGTTACCGCTAAATTGTGAATTAACAATAACGAACTGAAGACTATTACTTTATTCACAGGGAGAGCTTGGAGAACCTGGTCAAAAAGGAGGCAAAGGTGACAAAGGAGAACATGTAAGTGGCAGAGTAATGCAGTATTATTACACAAATGTGGAATATTTATCTTTTCCTTTACTTTCACAGGGTCCCCCAGGTCCAACAGGCCCACAGGGCCCTGTCGGAGCACCCGGTCCTGCCGTAAGTTTTCAGTCATATACAGTATATCGCTGTCTGGACATCGGTCTGTTGGACCATGGATTCACTTTGAGGGTTTTGTTTAGGGCGCAGACGGAGAGCCAGGTCCCAGAGGACAACAGGGTCTGTTTGGTCAGAAGGGAGATGAGGGCACAAGGGGTTTCCCTGGACCTCCGGGCCCAGTTGGACTGCAGGTATGATAACTGCACAATACTTTCTAATGTAACAAATAAATAACTGTTTTATTTATATATCCTTAGGGTTTGCCGGGTCCACCTGGTGAGAAGGGTGAAACTGGAGATTCTGGAAAACAGGTAAGGATCACAAATGAGAAATAGGATTTGACAGTTTGTTTCTAATCTTAAGAGGTGTAGCTGCGTCATTGTAATGTATTTCTTGTCATGATCTCCAGGGTCCACCTGGGCCTCCAGGACCCAGAGGACCGTCTGGTCCTCCTGGAGCTGATGGTCCTCAAGGACCTCCTGGTGGTATTGGAAATCCTGGTGCCGTCGGAGAGAAGGTAAGTCTTTCCTGTCTGAATGTCTAAAGTCCCTCCACACAATGTCAGGATGCTGTCGGTGAACGAGGGTTTCTTATGCAAAAGACGCTTTTCTCTATTTTCTGAATTTATCAAAAATCCTTAATTTCTTGTCTTGTCTTTTTTAGGGAGATTCTGGTGAAGCCGGAGAGCCTGGACTACAAGGAGAACTTGGTCCTCCTGTGAGTATTTGATTGGATAATTATATTCATTTACAACAATGTTGGAGTCTAACCATCATTTCAAACTCACATCTCTGAGTGTAACTTAGATCTAACATTTGAATAATTGCAATAATATTTTTTCACATGTGAATGACAGGGACCAAGAGGAGAACGAGGAGAGAAGGGTGAGGCAGGCCCGGCAGGAACAGGTGGGCCTCCTGGCCCTAAAGGTCCCCCTGGAGATGATGGTCCCAAAGGAAGTCCAGTAAGTTTAGGCTTTTGCATGTGCTTGGTTTTAGTTTGTTCCTATCTAAAGATCATATTATCGTGTATCTTAGGGTCCAAGTGGTTTTCCTGGTGACCCTGGTCCTCCTGGAGAGCCTGGTTCTGCCGTAAGTAAAAATCACTGCATTCTGTTGCTAAACAGATGATTAAAAACGAATCTCTTGGTACCTTTCAATAGGGTTTAGACGGTCCACCAGGTGACAAAGGAGACGATGGAGAAGCTGGTCAGCCAGTGAGTAGTGCTTTTAATGTGAATACAATGTTCAAAGTAATAATAATTTAAATCAATAATTTCAAACAAAATCTAGGGTTCTCCTGGTCCAACTGGAGAGTCCGGACCTTCTGGACCACCAGGCAAACGGGTAAAAACACTGTTTTTTTTCCTCATAATATCCATGTAAGTGCTGTCTGTCTTTGATGAAATGTATGTGTATCATATGTGTTCAGGGGCCTCCTGGACCAGCTGGACCAGAGGGCCGGCAAGGAGAGAAAGGAGCCAAGGTAATTTATCCATAATTATAAATTCTTTGTTCTTTTGAACCAATAACAACATTTAACATTGTATGTTTAAGGGAGAATCAGGTTTAGAGGGTCCTCAAGGAAAGACCGGCCCAGTCGGTCCCCAGGGGTCTCCAGGAAAACCCGGCTCTGAGGGTCTCAGGGGCATTCCTGGCCCAGTTGTAAGTATTAAAAGTATTTTCTCGGGGTGAGCTGGATCTGCCATCGATGCCATAACTGTGTTTTTATGCAGGGTGAACAAGGTCTTCCTGGTTCCCCAGGGCCTGATGGCCCCCCTGGACCAATGGTAAAAAATATTTGTATTACTTTATGATATGTGACTTAGCTCATCCGCTGTTAATGTGAACCACAGGGGCCTATCGGTTTACCTGGCATGAAAGGAGACTCAGGTGTTAAAGGTGAAAAGGTGAGTATTAACCCTGTGTGTATGATCACAGTATGTGTTGTTTGTGCAGCAGTCTATGTACAGTTTGAACTTCATGAAGCCCCTAATGACCCGTGACTTCTGAACAGGGCCATCCTGGTCTCATTGGTCTCATAGGACCTCCTGGTGAACAGGGAGAAAAGGGTGACAGAGGTCTTCCTGGACCTTCTGGAACGTCCGGTCCAAAAGGAGATAATGTGAGGGCTTAAATGCTAGTTTCTATCTTATTTTCATTTCCTAATTAATACTGTTTTGTTTCTTAAGGGTATCAACGGTCCTCCTGGTCCTCTTGGTCCGATTGGTCCACCTGGATTACCTGTAAGGCTCAATAGTCTGGAAATCGATTGATGTTGAATACAAATATAGACTATTTATTTACTCATATGGTTTGTGTTTTAGGGCCCCCCTGGTCCCAAAGGTGCAAAGGGATCATCTGTGAGTTTTATTCTAAATATAATTTAAACAAATGTACTTCAGAACATTCTTGTGATTGGTTTTATTTTTCTCTGTGTACTTTAGGGTCAAACAGGTCCTAAGGGAGAAACGGGTACAACTGGGCCACCTGGTCCACCTGTAAGGGCCTTTGAGTCTCTTTTTAAGTTCTGGATCTGTTTACAGTGTTCATTTAAAGTTATTTGTGTGTTTCATTTCAAACACAGGGTCCTCCTGGCGATGTTATCCATCCTCTGCCGATCCAGGGCTCCATGAAGGGCAGAACACGCAGAAACATCGATGCCAGCCAGATCGTGGATGATGCATCTGTGGACGCCAACTACAAGGACTATGATGATGGAATGGAAGAGATCTTTGGATCACTGAACTCTTTAAAACTGGAGATAGAGCAGATGAAGCATCCATTGGGAACGCAAGCCAACCCAGCACGGACCTGCAAGGACCTCCAGCTCTGCCATCCTGACTTCCCTGATGGTGCGTAAGACAAAACCATGTGACTGTAGCAGAGTCAAATGAAAGGCTCAGGAAGAACATGCAGGGTTCTCTGCCCAGAGCATCATGGCAGACATTCATTTTTCTATCTCTTCAGGTGATTATTGGATTGATCCAAACCAGGGCTGCTCTCGAGACTCCTTCAAGGTGTATTGCAACTTCACGGCAGGAGGAGAAAGCTGCATATTCCCAGACAAAAAATCTGAAGGGGTGAGTGAAGATAAGCACTTTTCAAAACTCAATGCAGGCAAAACTTACACTTTTGTGGATCTTTCTTTTGAAACATTAGAGAGTGGACTAAACATAGTGTTATGTCTTTATATCTTCAACGATTAGTTCACAGTAAAAGCTCTGGTTTTAGTAATTTTGCACAATTTTGGGTTTATTAGGCCTAATTGTGTAAGAAAATAAGTGGTGGTAACAGAGTCTTTGACAAGTCAGGAGTTGTGTAATAGCACAGTGTTACAGCCACTTTAATGATCCCACTCACCAAGTCTCAGAGGAGCTGGGTTTGCTTAAACCTGGAATAATGAAGCAGACTTTTTATAGCTCACTGGTGAGGAGAAGAGAAAACGACTTGTGGTGCCAGTCGGGGGTTTTAAAAAGCTACATTCTATATGTGGACTGGCCCAGTTACATTACTGACTTCATCCATGTTGTATATATTCTCTTTAGAAACATTGATGACAGACCATTGCACTGCAGTAATAGCAGTCATCTATTGTACAAGCAGTGTTCAGTGAGTGAAGGTCACCTTTAATATACCATGGGCTTAATGCATATGTCATCTCGCAGTTTGGGCCATATTACAGCCATCATTAATTACAGTGTTTTAATGACGACCTCATATAGACTGCTGTCTGCTCATTACATGGACGTTCATCACTGTCAGTTTTAAAACTATTAGGTCACATTGCTCTAGTCACAGATTTTAAACATAACCACTCAGTTTTCTCCCTGGTGTGGGAGAGGCAATAGTTGCTGGGATCCTCGCAGGTAATAATTTCATAATTAAACTTGTTGTACTCATGCATTTTTCAGTAGCAATTATCAAGCTGTTTGCCAAGTACAGAATAATCCACATCTTGTTTGGTTCTCATTCAGCATCGGACGTCTGGATAGATCCTCTGGTGGAAAAGCAGAAGAATGCCACACCAGTGTTTCTTAAATCCACTCTTCTTCTTTAACATTGCTCTTTTTCCCTCCTCTTTTGCTTCTCTATAATCTATCCCCCCAGGCTAGGCTTACATCCTGGGCAAAGGAGAATGCTGGTTCCTGGTTCAGTGAATTCAAACGTGGTAAACTGGTAAGCCACACCCTTGTCTTCCCAGCCCCCTTTCCTGAAAACTGTTCATATTTTACAGAGCAAAATGGCAAAATGGCCCAAAGACTCACCAGGCTCATGGTATAGTCACTACAAGAGAGGTTCCCTGGTAAGTGTTCGTGCCTCTGGTGCAGGGTCCTGGCTGAACCGGGACTCCGTGGCCAGAGGCTCTGCATGGGACTGCTCCACTCAGTATGTTGTGATGCTGCACCTGGCTGTTGTGAAATCTCTAGTCCTGCTAGTTCTGGTGATGCTCTGGTGCTCTGGAAAGGTTGGTAGAGGTGTTACCTCCGCTATATCTTTTCCATAAGAAAGCATCACAAATTATGACTTTGTGCCGTAGCACTTAAGTGACGAGACCAAATAACAGCAACTGTAAAAGTGAGAAATGTCTTAAACATTCTCTGATTTTAATTGGCAACATTTGGAGTCACACTGTGCAGGTGCTCAGTCAACTCCCAGGGGTCTCTGGGTACCCAGTCACTCTTGACTTGCGCCTATGATGATGAAGAGGTAATGTTTCTTGGTGAATTGTGCTGTTACACACTTGCAGTAAAGCAGTACTTAAGTACATATATATGCATGTATGAGTATGCATGAGTGCAGTACAATGTATGTCTCCAGCGGCGTCTGCACATGTGTGGGACATGCAGAAGGTGCATGTTTGTGCTTGTGGTGATGTGGGGCCTCGGCTGCATGGCATGGATGCTGCATGAGCTGTTTTCCAAGAAGGTCTTAATGTTTCAAAGAGGAAAAGACTTTGTGGATCTGAAGGATTCTTAATGGTTGGTATGGAAATAGTCACAATTGTAAAAGAAATATTAGGTGTCAACGAAAGCTATTCTCCAATTCATCAACTGTTGTCTGCATCGAAACATAACATGTGAACTGTTATGGGAACATTTGAAATATTGCAATCTGAAATGCAGTTCACAAGCTCAAGAAATCATGATCATCACAATATATTATGTTAATAGAAATTTTTCATTAAAGCTGGGGTGCTTGATTTCCCAAGAAGGTAGTAGAAACTGTTTGCATTTGTTGAAGCATACACAAGAAGAAGTACAAGAAGAGAGAATCCACCAGTTTAACTTAAGTATACAATAGTTCAAATATCAACTTTGCACATGAAACACTGTCATTATTATTTCCATTATTTTAAGACTTGTGTTTTTATAGATAGAAAGACATAATTTACCAAATAACAAAAGAAAAGTTTGGTACCCCCAGTTTGTTTCGATTCCCCATTTTCACATAAAACATGTGTCATTTTAAACCCTGGCTTTGATGATCAAAAGAAAAGCAGCAAAACAGGGGAAAAAGACACAAGATACAAAATGATGAAATGAAATAGACTTCTGACAGTTATGTCACAGTGACGTGCATCTGTTGCAGCTCTCGTACGTGGACGCAGAGGGAAGCCCCATCGGAGTCGTCCAGATGACCTTCCTGCGGTTACTGAGTGCGGCAGCGAGACAGAACCTGACGTACAACTGCCACGAGTCGGTGGCGTGGCACGAACAGGGAAAGGACAATTACGACAAGGCCATCCGCTTCCTGGGCTCCAACGATGAGGAGATGTCATACGACAACAACCCATACCTGCGCGCCATCGTCGACGGCTGTGCTGTAAGTTATTATTGTTATTATTATTATTATTATTATTATTATTATTATTATTATCATTATCATTATTATTATCATTATCATTGATATTATCATTATCATTTAGATCATGGGTCTCCAATCTTTAGCCCGGGAGTTATCATTATCTCTGTTTAAAATAGCTCCCCAAAGAGTAAATATAAGAATTGATTGATTTGTATTAATTGGAGCAGAATTAGGGCTGGGAAATATGGCAACAACAAAAAATCTCAATTTAATTTCCTGCTTTGGACGATTTCGATTTTAAATCTATTTTGAAAATAGATTTTCATTAGTATTTTCATTAAAGTCACTGACTTTGCCCTTAAACATATGTTTTGATCTTTGGGCTCAATATTCAAGTTTAATGTTTTTTTTCTTTTTCCAAAAAGTCTTGTACAGACTGTGCTGATATTGAAAGTATAATTCATGTGCTGCTGGAACTCTCACAAGATCCTTCATTAAATTCAACAATTTTCATATTTTTCACAAATTCGATTTTTTCAAAAGCCGATGGATTGCCTAAATTCGATTTATTGCCGCACAATCCATACATTCAGTAGTGTACAATATTTACATTCCTTATTTTACATGACCTTTTGTACATGTTGCTACTGCATTTAAAGTTTGACATGTCTGGTCTAAAAGAAGTAGCTCTCTGCTAGTATCTTTCTGTTAGCCTGGTCGTACCACACCATAGTACAATTTAAGTTTTGTACTAAGGTCTGGAGGTGCTCCATTGAGCTCCGTTTACAGGTGGGAGGGGTTAACTCCTTTTGCAGATTGTAATGATTGGATCTGAGTTTACCGTGACGTATGTAATGCGCCCGAGTGAGTCGTTAGCATTTAGCATTTAGCCTAGCCATCTTCTTTGCCGCTAACAGAGCCCATGAGGAGTAGCGCCACAGTCTTTGCCAGAAATTGCTACGGATTCAATTTCTTGATAGAACCAGACCAGAATACTTTACTATTCCATTCTTTGCCATTGCCAAACTACAACCTTCGGCGCAAACTCTCGACGTCACCCACATCTAACTACAACACCCGCCTCCCGCGCTCTCTGATTGGTCGGATGGAAATCAACCGTTTGTAAACGCTAACATAGGGACTAGACCTAGACGTTACATGCAGGGATCATGCAGGGAAATGATGATTGACAGAGAGATAGCCTGGCCTTAGCCATCCGTACACTCCGTTCGGTGTTGTCCCCAAAAAAGTAGCATTCCAATTGAAAAGGTCGGAGACCCCTGCTTCAGATTTGCCTGGCCTGCCAAACTATATGCTTTTTCAAAGATATGTCTGGGAGGGATCTTGATCCCAGCGGTTTCCCGGTGGGCGGGATTGACTGAGTGCATCAACCAATTAGAGGAACGCCGGATATGACGCAGCAACACGCGGCACTAAACCACTTCAGGAAACACAAAGCAGTGAAGCGATGGCGGCATGACAGCTCGTTCACATGTAAATGACTGCTGTCGTCTTTGTAACAAAAACTTAAAGATACGAGTAGTTATTGGCAACTCAATTCTGCTTTTTGGAATGAAGTCCCGCCTCTCGAGCCGTGATTGGCTCGATGTGGATTAAATTGTGAACTGATAGGATGCGAGGAGCTGATGAGACGGTTCTTATTTTGAACAGAAAGCAAAAGTGTCTGGCAGAACAGGCAAGCTTCAGATGATTCAGACCTTTGCTCAGTCTTGGTTGTGCGTTTGTACCTCTGTGTGCGTTTGAACCTTTGTGTGTGTTTGAACCTCTGTGTGCGTTTGTACCACTGTGTGTGTTTGTACCTCTGTGTGTGTTTGAACCTCTGTGTGCGTTTGTGCCACTGTTTGTGTTTGTACCACTGTGTGTGTTTGTACCTCTGTGTGCGTTTGAACCTTTGTGTGTGTTTGAACCTCTGTGTGCGTTTGTACCACTGTGTGTGTTTGTACCTCTGTGTGTGTTTGAACCTCTGTGTGCGTTTGTACCACTGTGTGTGTTTGTACCTCTGTGTGTGTTTGAACCTCTGTGTGCGTTTGTGCCACTGTTTGTGTTTGTACCACTGTGTGTGTTTGTACCTCTGTGTGTGTTTGTACCACTGTGTGTGTTTGTACCACTGTGTGTGTTTGTACCTCTGTGTGCGTTTGAACTTCTGCGTGCGTTTGTACCACTGTTTGTGTTTGTACCACTGTGTGTGTTTGTACCTCTGTGTGTGTGCGTTTGTACCTCTGTGTGTGTGCGTTTGTACCACTGTGTGTGTTTGTACCTCTGTGTGTGTTTGTACCACTGTGTGTGTTTGTACCTCTGTGTGCGTTTGAACTTCTGCGTGCGTTTGTACCACTGTGTGTGTTTGTACCACTGTGTGTGTTTGTACCACTGTGTGCGTTTGGACCTCTGTGTGCGTTTGTTCCTCTGTGTGTGTTTGTACCTCTGTGTGTGTTTGTACCTCTGTGTGTGTTTGTGTGTTTGTACCTCTGTGTGTGTGTTTGTACCTCTGTGTGCGTTTATACCTCTGTGTGTGTTTGTACTTCAGTGTGCGTTTGTACCTCTGTGTGCGTTTGGACCTCTGTGTGCGTTTGTTCCTCTGTGTGTGTTTGTACCTCTGTGTGTGTTTGTACCTCTGTGTGTGTTTGTACCTCTGTGTGTGTTTGTGTGTTTGTACCTCTGTGTGTGTGTTTGTACCTCTGTGTGCGTTTGTACTTCAGTGTGTGTTTGGACCTCTGTGTGCGTTTGGACCTCTGTGTGCATTTGTACCTCTGTGTGCGTTTATACCTCTGTGTGCGTTTGTACTTTATGGTGCTTTTGTACCTCTGTGTGTGTTTGTACTTCTGTGTGCATTTAGACCTCTGTGTGCGTTTGGACCTCTGTGTGCGTTTGTACCTCTGTGTGCGTTTGTACCTCTGTGTGCGTTTGTACCTCTGTGTGCGTTTGTACCTCTGTGTGCGTTTGTACTTTATGGTGCTTTTGTACCTCTGTGTGTGTTTGTACTTCTGTGTGCGTTTAGACCTCTGTGTGCGTTTGGACCTCTGTGTGCGTTTGTACCTCTGTGTGCGTTTGGACCTCTGTGTGCGTTTGTACCTCTGTGTGCGTTTGTACCTCTGTGTGCGTTTGTACCTCTGTGTGTGTGCGTTTGTACCTCTGTGTGTGTGCGTTTGTACCTCTGTGTGCGTTTGTACCTCTGTGTGCGTTTGTACCTCTGTGTGCGTTTGTACCTCTGTGTGTGTTTGTACCTCTGTGTGTGTTTGTACCTCTGTGTGCGTTTGTACCTCTGTGTGCGTTTGGACCTCTGTGTGCGTTTGTACCTCTGTGTGCGTTTGTACCTCTGTGTGCGTTTGTACCTCTGTGTGTGTGCGTTTGTACCTCTGTGTGTGTGCGTTTGTACCTCTGTGTGCGTTTATACCTCTGTGTGCGTTTGTACCTCTGTGTGCGTTTCTACCACTGTTTGTGTTTGTACCTCTGTGTGTGTTTGTACTTCTGTGTGCGTTTATACCTCTGTGTGTGTTTGTACCTCTGTGTGTGTTTGCACCTCTGTGTGTGTTTGTACTTCTGTGTGCGTTTATACCTCTGTGTGCGTTTGTACCTCTGTGTGTGTTTGTACCTCTGTGTGCGTTTGTACCACTGTTTGTGTTTGTACCTCTGTGTGTGTTTGTTGTGTGCGTTTGTACCTCTGTGTGTGTTTGTACTTCTGTGTGTGTTTGTACCTCTGTGTGTGTTTGTACCTCTGTGTGCGTTTGTACCTCTGTGTGTGTTTGTACCTCTGTGTGTGTTTGAAACTCTGTGTGCGTTTGTACCTCTGTGTGCGTTTGTACCTCTGTGTGCGTTTGTACCTCTGAGTGTGTTTGTACCACTGCATGTGTTTGTACTTCTGTGTGTGTTTGTACCACTGTGTGTGTTTGTACCACTGTGTGCGTTTGGACCTCTGTGTGCGTTTGTTCCTCTGTGTGTGTTTGTGTGTTTGTACCTCTGTGTGTGTTTGTACCTCTGTGTGTGTTTGTGTGTTTGTACCTCTGTGTGTGTGTTTGTACCTCTGTGTGCGTTTATACCTCTGTGTGTGTTTGTACTTCAGTGTGCGTTTGTACCTCTGTGTGTGTTTGTACTTCTGTGTGCGTTTAGACCTCTGTGTGCGTTTGGACCTCTGTGTGCGTTTATACCTCTGTGTGCGTTTGTACTTTATGGTGCTTTTGTACCTCTGTGTGTGTTTGTACTTCTGTGTGCGTTTGTACTTCTGTGTGCGTTTATACCTCTGTGTGCGTTTATACCTCTGTGTGCGTTTGTACCTCTGTGTGCGTTTGTACCTCTGTGTGCGTTTGGACCTCTGTGTGCGTTTGTACCTCTGTGTGCGTTTGTACCTCTGTGTGTGTGCGTTTGTACCTCTGTGTGTGTGCGTTTATACCTCTGTGTGCGTTTGTACCTCTGTGTGCGTTTGTACCTCTGTGTGCATTTAGACCTCTGTGTGCGTTTGGACCTCTGTGTGCGTTTGTACCTCTGTGTGCGTTTGTACCTCTGTGTGTGTGCGTTTGTACCTCTGTGTGTGTGCGTTTGTACCTCTGTGTGTTTGTACCTCTGTGTGCGTTTGTACCTCTGTGTGCGTTTGTACCTCTGTGTGTGTTTGTACCTCTGTGTGTGTTTGTACCTCTGTGTGCGTTTGTACTTCTGTGTGCGTTTGTACCTCTGTGTGCGTTTGTACCTCTGTGTGCGTTTGTACCTCTGTGTGCGTTTGTACCTCTGTGTGCGTTTGTACCACTGTTTGTGTTTGTACCTCTGTGTGTGTTTGTTGTGTGCGTTTGTACCTCTGTGTGTGTTTGTACTTCTGTGTGTGTTTGTACCTCTGTGTGCGTTTGTACCTCTGTGTGTGTTTGTACCTCTGTGTGTGTTTGCACCTCTGTGTGTGTTTGAAACTCTGTGTGCGTTTGTACCTCTGTGTGCGTTTGTACCTCTGTGTGCGTTTATACCTCTGTGTGCGTTTGTACCTCTGAGTGCGTTTGTACCACTGTTTGTGTTTGTACCTCTGTGTGTGTTTGTTGTGTGCGTTTGTACCTCTGTGTGTGTTTGTATCTCTGTGTGTGTTTGTACCTCTGTGTGCGTTTGTACCTCTGTGTGTGTTTGTACCGCTGTGTGCGTTTGTACCTCTGTGTGTGTGTGTGTGTTTGTACCTCTCTGTGCGTTTGTACCTCTGTGTGCGTTTGTACCTCTGTGTGTGTTTGAAACTCTGTGTGCGTTTGTACCTCTGTGTGCGTTTGTACCTCTGTGTGCGTTTATACCTCTGTGTGCGTTTGTACCTCTGAGTGCGTTTGTACCACTGTTTGTGTTTGTATCTCTGTTTGCGTTTGTACCTCTGTGTGTGTTTGTACCTCTGTGTGTGTTTGTACCGCTGTGTGCGTTTGTACCTCTGTGTGTGTGTGTGTGTGTGTTTGTACCTCTGTGTGCGTTTGTACCTCTGTGTGTGCGTTTGTACCTCTGTGTGTGCGTTTGTACCTCTGTGTGCGTTTGTACCTCTGTGTGCGTTTGTACCTCTGTGTGCGTTTGTACCTCTGTGTGCGTTTGCTAACTCTGTGTGCGTTTGCTAACTCTGTGTGTGTGGGTGTTTGTACCTCTGTGTGTGTTTGTACCTCTGTGTGTGTTTGTACCTCTGTGTGTGTTTGCTAACTCTGTGTGTGTGTTTGTACCTCTGTGTGCGTTTGTACCTCTGTGTGTGTTTGTACCTCTGTGTGCGTTTGTACCTCTGTGTGTGTTTGTACCTCTGTGTGTGTTTGTACCGCTGTGTGCGTTTGTACCTCTGTGTGTGTGTGTGTGTGTGTTTGTACCTCTGTGTGCGTTTGTACCTCTGTGTGCGTTTGCACCTCTGTGTGTGTTTGCACCTCTGTGTGTGTTTGTACCTCTGTGTGTGTTTGCACCTCTGTGTGTGTTTGCACCTCTGTGTGTGTTTGTACCTCTGTGTGCGTTTGTACCTCTGTGTGTGTTTGTTGTGTGTGTTTGTACCTCTGTGTGCGTTTGTACCTCTGTGTGTGTTTGTTGTGTGTGTTTGTACCTCTGTGTGCGTTTGCTAACTCTGTCCCTCTCTCGTTGTCTCTCCGCAGTTGAAAAAGGGCTACGAAAAGACAGTACTTGAGATCAACACACCCAAAGTGGAACAAGTGCCTTTTGTGGATATTATGTTCAATGACTTCGGGGGCCCCATGCAGAAGTTCGGATTTCAAGTGGGTCCCGCCTGTTTCGTCGGCTAAGACTGTTTTCCCGAGTGAATGGAATGAACACTTTTTTTTTTTGTTTCATCTGAAAAAACAATTCAAAACTAGAACATTTCTATTTGTAAAAAGTACCTTCTCCTTAAAACAACAAGTGTGAGTACAATGATATCAATGAGACAACGGCGACATATTTTATATATATTAAAAAAGAGAATAGAGAAAAGTGAAAAAGAACAACCTCGAAACCTCAGTGTGCCTTTTCCATCACATGCAAGTTTTGAACCTGGATGTCAGTCATGCCCCTCTGGTTTAGATCGTGGAGGCCGCCGCTTACCGTGGACTCGATATCCATATTTACATCCGACCTGCGTCTCCCCTCGGCTACCGCACGTTTTCGGTGTTCGCTCACTGTCTTTCCTGGAGCTTTGTTTTGTGCATAATGATTTTCCAGTTACCTTGAAATGGACCTTATCTATAAATATATATATAAATAATTTTATGTCTGTAAGTAGATTCTGTATATTTTTTTTTCCCTGGTTGAGTTTAAGCTTCAAAACATGCATGTGACTTTAGCTTCAGGAAGGTTAAGGAACCAACTGGGAAAGTCAATTATGGAATACTTTAAACAATTATTGATTAGAGGAAAAATGGTCCAAAAGGTTAGGAAGTCTCCTCTTGTTGCAGGTGTGGAGAATGGGTTTTTGTACTTTAAGAACAGCATAGAAATAAAAACACATTCAAGTTCTGTGAAAGTATGTGACATTTAATTTCCAAAGAAAACAAAGACATTCCTTTCTTTTTTTTCGTCCCCCGAGTGTTCGTTCGTGTTCCGCCGGGAGTTTTAACTTAAACTATGCAAAGGCAGACGAGGTCCCGGTTCACGACAACACAGACCACATAGGTGCTATTTCTTCTCTTCTGTGGTGCTATGTACTATTGTGTATTGTCTGAATGAGTTGTAGGTGGCTGCCCTCTCACTATTGTTCACTTCTATCGCTGTGGTGTCTCCCGCCACTCGCATACCCACACAGAGGCCCTCGCAGCAGACGAGGTTGGCTTTGTAAATGCCTGCTCCATGACGCTGCCTTGTTGCTGGTTTGTGCCCATCATGTGTGCCACGGCGGCGGGCACACACACACACACACACACACACACACACACACACACACACACACACACACCACACACACACACACACACACACACACACACACACACACACACACACACACACACACACACACACACACACACACACACACACACACACACCAAAGTGCCAAATTGTCTACAAAAAAAAGGGATGAAGTGATTCCCCCATCCCTTCCAACCAAAGTGTTTCATGTATATTTTTAAAATCTATTTTTGTATGTAAAAAAATATCTAGGAAAAAAAGAATTTTATCGAGGAATGAATAAACGTCACCAAATTAGCAACACAATTGCAACACCAAATCCTGCTTGTTGTGGCACTTTTTTTCTATTTTGTTCAATTTGCTCCATTTAAACTATGCACTCTTTTTGCTTATGACCACTAGTATTGACCACAAAGTTGCCCCCCCTCTGCATAAGTTTGCTCTTTTTCATAAAATGAGTGACTTGAACGTTGTTTTTTAAGTGAACTCCATGCTTGTAGACTCTTGCAGATCTTTCCTTTTGTACATTTCTTAACAAAAACAAAAACCAGCAAAGGCTGCCATTGTTTCTTGTGTTTGTAGATTTCTATTTGGTTGTTTGTTTGTTCTCACGATCTTGTCAAACCTGTGTAAGGAAAGGAGGATACAAATATTTGGGTTTTCATGTCAATAAATTCAAGTTTACTGTGGCCATCCACTCTTGTATGTCTTTTGAAGCATTAAAACCTGTATGCATGAAATTGTAAAGGTTTTTTTCTCTTGTTATATTGTGCCCTGGCATGATCTCTTGTTCATGTTTTCTAAATCAGGATGAAGCAGCTTTTCCATTGCTACAGATTCACCAAAAAGATCATGTCCATAATTGTGAAGTGCAGAGAAAATGATGAAATTGTAACTCAACCAGAGACAATGTTTTTGTAGTATATTTATTGTACTATTTAAAATAAATAAATGTAAAATGAGACAATAGTGGAAGTGTATAAGGCCCACTCTGTACAGCAGCCCAGCATCACCAGTGTCTGTGCTTCTTCTGCTCTGCGCCTCCCTGTGCTTCCAGCTGCAGCCTTCAGCACAACACTGGCGCCTCTAGTGGCCGAACTGTGACACAACCACCAGCGGTTTTTGTTCTTGTTCGTCCGAGGTTTGTACAGGGGCAGGTTTTTGTAGCCAGACAAGCAGCCTACACACACAAACCTTCACACCTGCTTTGTCAATTTTTCCATTGGGAGATCAATTTTTTCAAGTTTCTCTGTCAACACATGAACATAGACTGTTTATGTGACAATATCTGAGTGATCCTAATGCATATTTTGATATGTTTTATGTCTATTTTTACCATTTTATCACGGTAAAACTATACACTGGTTCCCTTTCTTTCGTTTCTTCATGCCTTGGTCCAACCTCGACGTCATCCAAGTAAATGAATACGTCACCCATCTTTCTGAATCCAATTCCTGTAACCCTGTGTTTCTTTTAGATTTGTGTGCAGGGCCTACATGCTTTGATCCACTGGAAGCTGCGAGGAGGAGCAGGACTTCCAAACGCCTCATTAGAGAGTGGAATTCTGAGTGTGTGCATTAGCTGAGCGCAGCAGAAGGGATCATCGTAAAGCAAAACATTTGTGCAAGTACTTGGATCAATGTTTAATGTGGTGTTTGCGGAATGGACCTAAGCCTCCGATCTATGGGCTAAATAACATCAACAGTAACAGTGTGGCACAGAATGACCCGAAGATAAATAATGCAGAAGTTTTGTTTTGAAGTAATGCTTTTTTTTTTTTCAAGGTGAGTTCATGGTCAGACGGATTTTAGACAGATTTATGAATATGTCAATTCTGGATATGCTCGAAATTCCTCGAACCGGACAGATGTGGGTTTAAGGCACGGTGGAGTGGATAGCACTCTCGCCTCTCAGCAAGAAGGTCCTGGGGTCGAATCCCGGTCGGAACAGGGCCTGTCTGAGTGGAGTTTGCATGTTCTCCCCGTGTCTGCGTAGGTTTCCTCCATGTGCTCCCGTTTTTCCTACCACTAAAAACTTTCACAATAGGTATGATTGTAGATGAGAGAGTGAATGGATGGTGTTGATTGGGGGCTGATGCTCCAGTGTGTTCGGCGACTCGCTTCCGTCATCACCGTGTGTGGAATGATTGGAACAACGACGGTCAGTTGGTAGAGCATTGGCCTTTGAGTCAGAGGGTTGTGGGTTCGAGCCCTTCTCCACCGACTTTCACTGTCTGCTGTCGTTGTGTCCTTGGCAAGACACTTAACCTCTGGGAACACCAGCCACAGTGGGGCGGCTGTAAAGTGCCAAACTGCTGTTGTGTCCTTAGGCAAGACACTTCACACCCATTGCCTAGAATGAGTCTGGTGTGTGTGTGAATGGTTGGTGGTGGTCGTAGGGGCTGATGGCACATACTGGTTGCCTCGCTTCTGTCAGTGTGCCCCAGGGCAGCTGTGGCTACAGTAGTAGTTTATCACCACCGTGTATGGAGTGAATGAATAATGACATGTGAAGCGTCTTTGAGTGTCCAAAAAAGCGCTAAATAAAACCGATGCATTATTATTTTTGTTATTGAATACAAAATATTATAAACATGCTTGAAAGGATCCCTGGATATTAAATGCTGCTAGACATTTGAAATAGCTCATACTTACAATCATTATGTGTGAGAAGAATGTTATTGGGGACCCAAAAGTTCTCACCTCCAACAACCATTTCAGGACTTTCCTATAGGAGGACTTTTTTAGATTAACCCCCCCCTCCGACCCAGAAATAGAATACGGGGAAGAAAATGGATGGATGGAGGAGGACTTTCTACTTCCAGATGGATCATCACGACTATTGAATTTTCGATCATGGTGATACGTGCTCGTCAAATAAGACCAGAAGGTTTTGTTCCTAAAATTTGGGAAAATCGTCCTTTGTATCTTTAAGTGACATCTTCAATGGCACTCCCCTGAATCTATAGATATCCCCTGAACCAGCATGTTGCATTATGGTCAAAGTCGTGTTGGTCACCAGTGGATGTGGAGAGAGAGAAAAGGCCCAGAAACCAGATAATATTGTGGTCTGTTAAAACCAAACATAAAAGACCGTTGGTTAATTTTGTCTCACCTCAAAAGTGCTGGAACAAAACAACTGTAATGATGTTCAAAGGTCAGGGCTGTGGAATGAATGTTTGTAATCACACTTTCTCTTCTGTTCATTGTGTGATAATGTGACAAGGATTCGAAATAAATAAATCAAAAGTTCACATTAAAATGTTCCCCGCAGCTAAACAGGTGTTTGTCTTTAATTGCACTGCTGCCTTTTGCTCCAAGAATCCAAACTAAAACATTTGATTTCAAAGACGCAAACTTTTATTCCTGAAGGACCATGAGCTGTCAATCAACCTTCTCCTGAGTCATACCTGCTCCTGCCGAGGCTGTGCTCCCGGGAGCAGGATTCAGACTCACATTTAAACTCATTTATTAATCCCACCAGAGGCAATACTGTACATTTGAGCAGCATGAAGGGCATAACAACACACACAGATGAATATAACTAAAACAAACATTAACTTAAGCCAGGCATGTCCAAACCATAGACTGTATATATTAATGGACAGAATCACGCCTATCTCCGCCGTTCTAACTAATGGGCCAAAAAATGTGCTCTACTGGAGCAATCCAAAATGGCCGCGAGTGGTCCCGCCCACAAGAAAATTGTGAAAACACATGCGTCAGCCGGCGCAACTCCATTCATTAGAACGAGAGACTTAAAAAATTCACAGCAAGTAAACTAGAGTGGACCAAAAAAAATCCACCCCCCTCAGCATTGACACACATGTGGAACGGAGCTTTGGGCCAAGAGACAACTTTTGGTCCATCCTGTAAAGATGTTTTTGAGAGGTCTGCCAATG